GAGTAGCCCTGCGTCTCGCACACCAGCGCGTACAGCTGCTTCACGTTCTGCGCGCGGCCGAGAGAACCCAGGTAAGGCGGGGGCCGGGCCGGTGGAGGCCCCCGCCGGGCCCCCCTCCCGGGCCCGAACTCCGAACCCCGTACCCCGCTACCTGGAAGCTGCTGCCGTACACCAGCCCCTTGAGAGAGCCCTGGCGACTCTCCACGCCGGCCAGCACGGCCGCCGCCGCCGCGTACAGCGCCATACTCCACGCCCACGCGTGCGCCTTTACGGCTCTGTCGCGAAGCGCGCCTGGCTCCGCACCGCCCGTCCCGCCCGGACTTCCGGGGTCAAAGGGCACGGAGGTTCCAGATCCGGGAGCTACAGTGCCCATCCAGGTACCCACAGGGCGTGTGCCAGGTGCCTGGCAGGGAGTGGAGGCCGACGCTGGGAGCCCGGTTCACCACTTCTTCGTAGCTCTTCTCTTTTTTCTTTCAATCTTTGCCGATTTCACAGGCAATGAGATTTTATTGATGTTTTAATTTCTGTGATTGAGGTTGAATATTTTCACATATTATTGGTCATTTGTATTTCTGTTGTGACATGTAGATGTCTTTTGTTCATTCTTCTACCATCTTTCCCTTGGTGCTCTTTATGGATTAACAATATATACCTCTTATCTTAGGTTTTGCCATTTTTTCCAATTTATTGTTGCTTTTTTTTTGTTTTCTGGCCGTGCCGCGCAGCCTGCGGGATCCTAGTTCCCCCAACCAGGGGTGGAACCCGCGCACCCTGCAGTGGAAGCACAGAGTCTAACCACTGGACTGCCGGGGAAGTCCCTATTGTTGCTTTTTAATGTGGTTTATAGTTGTTTTGGGCAACATAGAGTTCTCATTTTTAAGATACTTACCTGTATGGTTTCTGCCTTTGATGTCATGCTTGAAAACTGCTTCGTGCCTCTACCATATAGAAATCACTTATGGCTTCATCATTTCACACGTAAATCCATTTAGAATTAGGTTTGGCACGTGATGTGAGAAATGGCTCTTTGTTTCCCAATGGCTAGCCTTTTATGCAATCCTTGTGAGGATTCATCTATAGGAACGTTTCCCCAGCCTCACCCATGGGAGGACAGGGATTGTGTGGTATTTGGGTCTACAGCACCCATGTGATTACTGGCTACATAATGGGTTGATTGAGAAAAAACAAAAACAAAAAAAACAAAAAACCAGTACACTTGTATCTCAAGCATTCAAGTAGACAGGACTCCATGAACTAGAATATTCCAGCCTGTATATTCTCTGTATTACTAATAGCACATCAGCAAGCATTTTGCAAGAAGGTTGACTCTAGTCTACAATAACATCACTGAGTCACTTAAAGGTTTAACGCACTCCTGTAGCTCTAGCCTGGCTCATAAGTGGATCTTTTAGCGGAACTCTCCTCCTCCCCCATCAAATTACATCATCTGTTTTCTTCATAGCACCTATTCCGTATGTGGTTATGACTTATTCTCTGTCTCTCCATCTGGCTCCATGAGGGCAAATCCTTGTCTATCTTGACACTCATCTACCTTTAGCTCCAAGACCAGTGTCTTTCTCACAGTATGGACTTAATAAATATCTGTTGAAGGAGCGAAGGAGTGAATGGATGAACAGAGCACAAATTGATGTGGTTCTGGACAACCAGCTGTACTAGAGTTGACCCATCCTAAAACAATCCCCCCTCCTTCAGGTGAGTGGGTAACAGGTACATCAGTGTTGATACAATTCCACAGTTTATTCAGATTTCCTTAGTTTTCACCTGATGTCGTTTCTGTCCCTGAATCTCATCCAGGACACCACATTACATTTAGTCATGTCTCTCAAGGCTCCTCCTGTCTGTGACAGTTTCTCAGACTTTCCTTGTTTGTGGTTACCTTGATTACCTTAAGGAGTCCTGGTCAGTATTTTGTAGAACGTTCCTCACTTGGAACTCGTCTGATGTTTTTCTCATGATTAGACTAGGGTTATGAGTTTTTGGGGAGAAAGACCACAGGTAAAGGGACATTTTCATTACATCAGAGCAAGGGCACATAGTACCAAAGTGACATCACTGTTGATGTTAACCTTGATCACCTGGCTGAGGGAGTGTTTGTCCAGTTTCTCCACTGTAAAGCTACTCTGTAACCCTCTGGCCTCTCTGGCAGGAAGTCACTATGTGTAGCCCACATTTAAGGAGGCTATTATGCTCCCCCTCCTTGAGGGTGGAGTAGCTATGTAAATTACCGGGAATTCTTCTGCACAGATTTATCTCTTCTCCCCCATTTAATTAAACAATCATTTATTTATATCAGTATGGATTCAGGGATATTTATTTATTTATTTATTCATTTATTGCGGTACGCGGACCTCTCACCGTTGTGGCCTCTCCCGTTGCGGAGCACAGGCTCCGGACGCGCAGGCCCAGCGGCCATGGCTCACGGGCCCAGCCGCTCCGCGGCACGTGGGATCTTCCCGGACCGGGGCACGAACCCGTGTCCCCTGCATCGGCAGGCAGACTCTCAACCACTGCGCCACCAGGGAAGCCCAGGGATATTTATTTTATACTTTGGACTGTAATCCAAAATATTTTGTTGCTCAAATTATTCTTGTTTTGGCCACTGGAAGTGCTTTCAGTTGGTTCCTATATCCTTTTCACAGGGCTCTACTACTGTACTTTTTTTTCTTTTTCCATGTTTGGTTTCCATGTTCTGGTTTTCCATGTTCTGGTTTTCCATGTTCTGGTTTTGAGCATTTCCTTGCCTTCTGGCACTACAAGATACTGAGGCTCATTTGGTGTATTTCCTGTTCTAGTCCCAGAATCAGCCAGTTCTCCAAGGAGCCCTCATTCCTTTTATTATAGAATGGTATTAAGAAATCAAGATCCAGGGGGCTTCCCTGGTGGCGCAGTGGTTGGGAGTCCGCCTGCCGATGCAGGGGACGTGGGTTCGTGCCCCAGTCCGGGAAGATCCCACATGCCGCGGAGCGGCTGGGCCCGTGAGCCATGGCCGCTGGGCCTGCGCATCCGGAGCCTGTGCTCCGCAACGGGAGAGGCCACAACAGTGAGAGGCCCATGTACCACAAAAATAATTAATTAATTAATTAATTAATTAATTAAAATAAAAATCGGCACATTAAAAAAAAGAAATCAAGATCTGAGTGCTAGCTGACCTGGGTCTTTTAATTTTTCTTTTAATGTTTTACTTATTTTATTTGTTTATTTTTGCCTGTGTTCGGTCTTCATTGCTGTGTGCGGGCTTTCTTCTAGTTGTGGCGAGCAGGGGCTGCTCTTTGTTGCAGTGCGTGGGCTTTTCATTGCAGTGCCTTCTCTTGTTGTAGAGCATGGGCTCTAGGTGCGCAGGCTTCAGTAGTTGTGGCACACAGGCTCAGCAGTTATGGCTCACGGGCTCTAGAGCACAGGCAGGCTCAGTAGTTGTGGCAGACGGGCTTAGTTGCTCCGTAACATGTGGAATCTTCCTGGACCAGGGCTCAAAACCACGTCCCCTGCATTGGCAGGCGGATTCTTAACCACTACGCCACCAAGGAAGCCCTGAGTCTTTTAATTTTTAAAATGTGACCATTAGAAAACATAAACCTACACATGTGGCTCATATACTTCTGCTGGACAGCACTGCCTCTGTCCTAAAAATGCCTCCTCTTAATCCCACCTTCTCCCAGACTCTTGACCCAGTTTACTTTTTCCCTTCACTATCAAACTTTTTTTTTTAATTTATTTTTGGCTGTGTTGGGTCTTCATTGCTGCGTGTGGGCTTTCTCTAGTTGCGGCGAGCGGGGGCTACTCTTTGTTGCGATGCATGTGCTTCTCATTGTGGTGGCTTCTCTTGTTGCAGAACACAGGCTCTAGGTGCGCAGGCTTCTGTAGTTGTGGCACGTGGGCTCAGCAGTTCTGGCTCGTGGGCTCTAGAGCATAGGCTCAGTAGTTGTGGTGCACGGGCTTAGTTGTTCCACAGCATGTGGGATCTTCCTGGACGAGGGATCAAACCCATGTCCCCTGCAATGGCAGGTGGATTCGTAACGACTGTGCCACCAGGGAAGTCCCACTATCAAACTTTTTAAATGGAGAATCAGCAATCCTTGCCTTTACATCTTCATCGCATGCTATTATCTAACTGCCTGCAGTCCGTTTTCCACCAGCTGCACTGAGATGGGTCCCTCCCAAACTACCAAGAATCTCCAAAATATTCCTTAGGCCTTTCCTGCT